CAACATACGCAGCGTTATGTCGCTCTCGCCATGTAATAACATAAATAACTTACGTGTTTATCCCAAGCCTGTTTCCCTCCCGTGCCGAAGGAGTCTCATCCACTTCCCGACCGGCGCCACTCCGACCAGGTCCTGAATGGACAGTCCACAAGGTTCCTGTTTCAGCCTTATTGTCGCTATTATCAATTTCGGAGCGCACGTTTATCACAGTGTATCCCCCTAACGATTTTCCATAGCGCAACACGGGAACCCCGCCCCTGACACTCCCCCAGCCGCTGGTTGGCCGAGCGGCTGGAGAGTCTTTCCTCATCGCCAGAATCACATGTGGCTGACGCATGTTTACAAACATCGGTGAAATCACATGGTAATGGGCGCCGTTTTACCGTAAACTACCTCATTTTGACGCAGCTACCAGATGTCGTGTCAAGAGGCTAGTATTGTTTTTTTTGTTGTTGTTGTTGTTTTGTTTTTGTTTTTTCAATGACGGTATGAAAAATGAAATAAACAACTCTATTTACAAGGACGCAGACATTGCATAGGCCTACCACAGCCTGTTTACCCGTACAGGATACATACGGGATATTAAATAGCATAAGGATCTAGATGATTAATTAAAAAAGGAATGAAATGCGATACAATATATATAAAAAGATTTTTTTCTTATGATGTTTTTTTGTGAAATACTGGAAATCCAAGAAAAACAAGACAAATCACTTTCGGTTGAACTGCGAACTCCCCATGATGGACCACAAATAACAGTTTCATTTTAAATGCCACAGGCTACATGTGGGCCAAAAAGGGGAACCACTGTGCTTTATGTTAGACATTGTTGTCTTACTTCTGACCTCCTGCCTCTGGTTATTTTAGGTGTCATAATAACCACATAATATCCCAGAATATGAACTTGTATGGTCCTATTTGTCCAGTTCTTCATTAATCCTAATAGTTTTTTAAAAGGGTCCCTGTCAAATGTTTTGTAATCATGGATCCGCCTGCAATTTGTGAGGTGACGAGACAAAAAAAAAATAAAAAATACGACCTGAATTGTAATGCCGTTGTTGTTACAGCAGATGGCAATGTAACACTCAAATATGGTTTGGTGGAGTGTTGTGGCTCTGTGCTTTTCAAATATCCATTGGCATCACTATATTACCACCTAGATATGTGTGTATCTCAATTGACATAGACCTTCAGTGTTGTGTTTGTGTGGATTATAGCCAGATCAGTGTTTATATATATAGATATA